AATGAGTAAATAGCAATGCCAGGCTTGAAATGACGATGGAAACCATCAGCCATCTTTTTGGCATTTTGCGCTTTAGCGGTGCAAGCTTTTCAAACGCAGATAGTATATTCTTGTTACGGTTTTCGATAGCTTGTAATTGGAGTTTAATTGTTGCGATGTCGGTTTGGGCTGTGTGCAGTTCACGCGACATGCCTGGAACATCAAGTAAGAGATGGTCATCGCCATAGCAGGTTCTGTCAAGTATTTCCGAGTGCCCCTGTTGAACTTCTTTCAGATCTCGCAACTCCTCCATGATTGCGTAATCCCACCATTTGCAGAAGCCGCACCCTAACCCCTGGATGGGAAGATTAATTTGAGCTAAGATTTAGATGAATGATAGATATTTAGAGGGAGATCTGTGAAGACTACTTACATCCGGCGTATTACAGGTGTAGAACCGACGGCCTACGTTCGGTTCCCTGCAGACGTTTCGAGGAACAATGGCTTGCCACAGCTGCAGTTATTAGGAATCCCTTCTTTAGGGACCGGCCCCCAGTCGAATTCGGGAATCTCGGGAATGGCTGATCCGGACGAGCTCCAACTATAGCTGAGAGGCATGATGTAATGATGAAGTGAGTAGGTTTGCTATGAACTTCTATTAATTATAAAGGGAAAATAAAGGTGGCAGGACTTTGTAGTTCCTTTTAAAGTAGTGGAGTGGACGTGACCGTAATCATTAGGTGAAAGTATTTTCGCATGGAGCTTCACGATATAACATGAAAACAAAAGGTCCACGATACGTTGCCGAAACCAGGAAATAGTTATTGATTTTACACAAACAGAAACCGAAAACTTAAAAGTACTAGTAAGTAGTCGGCAAAGTTTTAAGAAATTCGGAAAAGCTGGGCGACAAGCTCTTGGTAGAGGTCCATTGCGTAAGCCCTCTTGAGAGAAATGACGGTATCGTCTGTGATAATGAAGCCATCTTTGATAAGGTCACCAAGTAAATGGTTTTCCATAAGCTTAACGGCTAGAAGGCCGCTTGAACCGGTGGTTGTGAACCTGTAGTTACCGTGATGGCGATCCCAGCTGAAAGGATCTACTACATGAGATTGTGATTGGTCTTCACGGCAACACTTCTGGACTATGTATGGAAGCTGGTTGACTAGGGGAGCCATATAGTCGTTTTCTTGTTCTTTTTCTGTGAGACTAGGGTTTGGATCAAAGACATAAACATGCCACAATTTTAAATTGATCATCAAACCGACCCAGTGGTGATCTCCCCACAACATTGGTGTGTACACAAAGTCGATGTCATTGAACCAGGTGTTCCCGTCCATTGAGACGACTTTTTTGACCTCTTCATCCCATATAAAAAGACTTTTATTGATGGACTTACTGAATGACCTGTACTTTGACTGCAATGTAGAAACAAGCGAAGGGCTGGTGAATGTGCTTCGCTCAGTAATTAGTGTTTGGGCATGTCGAGGAGCCAAAGAAGCCATTAAAAGTTTCATGTGCTGTGAAAAGAAATAACGGGCGTAAGGAATAAGAAATCAAGGAAAAATACCTTATTGAAACTACAATAAAAATGTGAATGGTTACCAATGGTGTAGTCCAGGTGTCTTTTTCCGCAAGAGCTAGAAAGAAATCATTGTTAATTTTCTGACCACATTTGAGGGAGTGGGTTCTGTTGAAAGTCATAAGAGCCGACATGGTTAGGTTAATGCAAAACGTTTTAAGAAGTTTGCTATCCAAATTGCTGATATTACATGGATAGAGAGATACCTAAACGGTGAAGACAAAAGAATTTCATGAAACGTCTTGAACTGCTTTTTGGTGACAGTAGGAAGAATATCTAAAGGATCCCTTGCCGGATTGGACCTAAGCATAGCCGCTAGTTGAAGTTCAGCTTGGTCGGAGATGGTATCTGAATTTGTAGTACCATCTCCAGTATTGTCCTATGGACAAAAATATATGGATAGTTTGTTAGTAGCTATTGTACTTGATTCTAAATTTGTATCACATTATATATGTCTTCTATATGGTTAACCCTAACGTATATGGAAGAATAATATTGTCTATATCTCCAGTTTTTACCTGTTTGTTTATGGTATCAGGAGGGGAGCTGTGGATGAATCCAGGACCGAGGGCCAGCTGACATTGGGACTGTTTCGGAAATGTAAGAAAAGTGATTGAGATCGGAAATGACAGAGATCGGAAAAGTGTCATACAGTGTAAACGACTCTAAAAAAAATGGAGAATATATGAGTACCTTGGGATCGATGTCGACATTTTGGATTGGCGGAACAGAACCAGAGCTTGCCTGGCGCTGGTGAAGTTATGTGGTATTCGAGAACAGAATGTTTAGGAAGAAGTTGGTAATAACGTGATGGACAATGCAAAAACACCTAGTTATGAAGTTATGTGGTATCTGATTACCGTAGCAATGACACCGGCTTGTATATGTTCCTCTTCTTGGACAACATCGCCAGATGGTTGAGATTGCCCTTCCTGCGTAGTATTTTACATATTAGCTCTTTGTTTTAGAATGGATTACAATGCAAGGAAAGAACATACTTAGGGGGTTATATGTAGTCAAAAGGGAGTGCGTAGTCAATTGCACGGGACTGGCTTGAAACGACTAATCAGAATGGATTTGTTACCTCTATATGTTCACTATCAGCATAATCTTTAGGCAGCCATGTGTTAAGAGAAGCCATAACAGATGAGATGACCTCATCATTATCAATGAAACACAGTCCCTAATGTGAAAAACAGAACACGTTTACCATTTTTTCACATATGGAATCTGTGATGAGAACCTGAACTAATCTGTAATATTACCGCTAAAAATGAATGCTAGTCAGTTGTATTGTGTAGTGCTTCTGCGGTGTTGAGGACGGCCTATAATCATTGCCGCAAGTTTTAAGTTAACTAGGAAATCTACTCGCATGTAGATAACTGTATACTAACGAATTAGCGTGGGACTAACCTGAACTTGATACTAAGACTGAGTTGAGGCAAGAGCATAAAGAAAGAGAATGAAGTAGTAAAATACCTTTGGCGAAAGACCCAGTTGGTGTTCATGATTCGCCTGCGGTCCACCCTACAAAAAAGACACAGTTATATGTGGTGCAATGATGAACTCATAAACTGAATGGTGGGGAAGAGACAAAATTCTTTCACCTGTGGAACAACCGGAACTACCGGGGTAATTGGATCTCCTTGATTGTGGGGTTGTAGGTGAAGAGTTGGGCGCTGGAAGTCAAGTGCATTCTCAGAATCGACAGCACTCGGAGCGTTGCTTGTCGGCTCAGCATCCAATGTCTTAAACAAGTGATTTGCAATTAGTAAAGATCAAATTTTATATAACATTTATTGCGGTCATCATTTTTTACCTTTATTGGAACATCAGAGTGAGGCTGGATGGTAAGAAAATACTGACTCTCAGACGATGGCTTCACTTTGATTGCATCTCCGGAGTGAACTCTAATGGTAGGCAAATCGTTTCTGTCGTCAGGGTTTTGAAATATGTCCTGCTGACCACCGAGTAGAGGAAGACATGGGGCGGGCTGAGTGAGGGGGAGAGACTACATTAAGATGGTGGAGATTAGATATATATTGATTACATTTGGCCCGGAATAACCAATATTCAACCGTTTGCGCTCAGAGAATATTTGCATAGTTTTACCTTGTGAAGAGCTGCAATTTGGTAATCCTGATCCATATCCTGCTGTCCACCGTGGATACGACCACCTGCATCAGACTGTTTGGTGGGCAAAGTCTATATTAACTTAGTCGAGTTTAGATGTAATGGTTATATGGAGATAATGCTAAACAAAAAGTTGAAATTAATTTAACTCACTTGGGAATCCCAATCGCGTTCACCGACAATAGAGGTTGTTTCCTGTTATGGGCATAAACGAACAGATCGTAGTGGGAAGAGGAAGTTAGTTTAACTGATCAATGTGGGTGGACTATCATGGATATAAATAGGTGGATAATAGTCAGTTAAGAGATGTAACGCATTGTTTTACCTTGTTTGGTTCTTCGGCCTGACACTCGTCTACTTGGAACATCGGGTGTTGTATACCGGGGATGGGACCACTGGCGCCTGTCTGATTGAGGGGTAGCGACTATATTAAGATGAGGAATATGAGTTTAGTGTACAAAACGTGTTTGATAAGGACGAACAGCATTAACAGTGAATTAGATAGAACTAACTTGTGAATACCCATCGACTTCATCAATAAAAGTGTCTGTTTCCTGCTAAGGAAATGTCCATCAGAGCGAAGTTAATAAAATCGTATCTTAAAGAAAATGAATGATGAAATATGTACTTGGTGGACAGGGCTTTGTGGTCCTGTTTCAACGCGTGTGGAGCTGATGGGAGAGTCCAGGACGTGGTCTTCATTCAACCTGAGAGATGCCTTATCACTAGAAGTTGACGGGGATGCCGGAGACGTTATGGGATTAGGCCGACGCCTTTTGGATGCACGAACTTGGGAAGTATTTCTTTTGGATGTAGAACGAGTACGTTTAATAGTACCCTGAGGGCCTGGATGTTGCCCGTTGACCTTAAAAGCAAGTTGGGCCACCTGAGTAGCAAGCCAACGGAGCTGCTCGGCTGGTGAATCAGGCATATTGGCCAAAAAATACCTAACAAATGAAGCAGAGCCTTTGACGGTGGACTTTGAGGCTGTTGGGGAAGAGAGAGCACAGACGAGTTGTTTTTTGGTTGCTTTTCCTTTTCTGCGGTTTAAAATATGTTTTTTGTGTGCCCCTTTGGTTGTCCAAGGCTCGTGGACAATAAGGGGGCACGAGTCATCCCCACCAGGCCAGTGGTCTTTGAGGAAAACATGATTGTTATTTATGAGGGAAAGCATATATTCAATCTTCCGGTCACGAACCTCGTCATCCCACTCACTGGATCCGTCATCACTTGGAGGTGTTTGAATTAGTGGATTCACAACAAGTTACGATAAAGGGCAAATGAGTATAAAGCTATGAAATGAAAGCTATGAAAAGTAAGTTGCCAATCTATAACGTTGAAAAGGAAATCGCGATCTTACATTGCAATCAATCTCGGAATCAAGTACATCGTTCAGTGTGACAGCCGCGTTGTTTGGGAAACCTTCACCAGACAAATCTAGTATAGTAAGACGATCGGAGGGATCTGGAAGCTTCTCTAGAAGAGCTGGAATAGCTCTGAAAGCAAGGAGCTGTAGAACGAGAGGAAACCCGTTAAGCTTTATAGATTTCTGCTGGAGCTGTTTGCAAAAAAGAGGGACTGGACCATCTTTTAACTTGGCTCCGGTAGCTGTAGGAGGTCTGCTCGACCACAATATTTTAATGAATGACTCTCGGCCCCATGGGAACTTCAGGAACTGTTCTAGATTATCGACCATTTGCACATAATGGGGGGTCGGAGTGTGGGTTTGGTGGTTGGCAACAAGAACACAGTCGACAATTAGAAGGAGAGCTAGACGTATGCGGCGGTCGCTAGACATTTCCTTGTCATCCCGAAGCCATGTTGCGATATCGGCGCAGGTTGTTTTGACATCGTCTCCAATCCATCTTCTCCAATATAGATCCGGTTCTTTGAGACTTACCTCGGAGGATGGAGTTTGGTAGCCCTCTTCGAACAAGGAACAGTTCAGGCCTGTAATGCTTTGGAACTCGAATAGAGAAAATCGTAGTGGCTGACCACCGAAAACCGTCCATAGCTCATACTTATGTTTGGTCACCAATTGTCTGGCTATGACGGCCTGTATAAGTTTGCAGGATATGGGCGCCCTGTTGGCGGGTAAATTGAAGAGCCCACCAAAGCTGGAATTTAAAATACGGTCAAGTTCTGGAGAATCCCGAAGGACGTGACGAACAACTGTGAGGATTTCTGGTTTCGAGTAGACATTTAACCGGCAGATAGGAAACCGGTCAGTGGCAAATAACCTTTGCGGGAGACGCTCGTCGGGACAATTGTCAGCGTCGTCTACAAGTTGTAACTAATCACCGAGTTGTCAAGTTCGGAGTTAACAATGTATACCCGATAATTAGTTAAAGTAGAAGTAGAAACCTTACCAGACATTGACTTACACAGGAGATGTAGCGGTGAGAGTTCCCAAGAATCTGAACTTAACGGTGAGAATTACTGAGTTTTCAAACGAGTTAGAGCGGTTTGGGTGCGAAAGGGAAAGGAAGGGATGAAAAATGAAAGGATGTTAGGGTTTTTTTACTTTTGGGAATGTGAATCGCACAATAAACCGACTTAAATGAAGAGGAACCGGTGTAAAATAGAGAACACTCAATCATAATTACAGTTTCCTTCCCGACCTCGTAATGTGTAAAAAATAATAATTACAAGAACCACCGTTTAACACCAACATTCATCTTTCGGTGTATCAGCGTTACATGGACGCGGCCATACCCTATTATGTCAACATCAATTAGAACACGCGAACATAAGACCAAATGTTTTCGCTACCCCGAAATTCAGGAAGGCATGGTTAGAGATAAAAATGTACATAAGGCTATCCCGTTATAGTGAGTGATAGTGGACGCGACCATATTGAGAAACGGAATAAACAATGAAATGTTATCCATTAGGATTAAATTACTGATTGCCAGCCACGCTAGTTTATGATGGTCACATCCATGCGTGGTGCGAGTACATAATGGTCCAATCCATGTGGATGCGATGTATTAGAAAGTCCCATATTTGTAGCTGCGCTCAACTATAAATGGTCGAGGATAGGTGAGATTATGGTCGTGCCCATACTCGCGATATAGTTTATTGAAAAACATACAAATGGGGTGCGAGTACGTGATGGTCTTATCCTTTTGGATGCGATATATTAGAGACTCACATATTAGTGCGGCAACTATGGATAGGACCATTGCTTTATATGTGGATAACATACTATATTTTATTGAAAAACATACAAATGAGGTGCGAGAACGTGATGGCCGAATCCTTGTGGATGCGACGGATGGCCGAATCCTTGTGGATGCGACGAATTAGAGACTCATATATTATGGTAGTAGCTATGCTTCCACTACGTAATGGATTTGACCATGTCAAACATGGGATCCATGAAGATATAGGATAATAGGATATCCACATGTCAAACATGTGAAGGTTATGGATTTGACCATGTTAAATGAGATTTATGGATTATGGAATTGAGGGCTATGGATTTGACCATAACAAACATGTGATCCATGTGGATATAGGATAATATGGTAGAGGCTATGCTTCCACTATGTAAACGAGGTTAATTGTAAGTCTCCGAATGTAATTGATATGAATAACCCTTTATTTTAGGTGCCCTGTATGGACATACTACAAATGCGGTGCGAGTACGTGATGGTGAGCCACACTGCTTTATGATGGTCCAATCCATGTGGGGTGCGAGTACATGATGGTCTAATCCATGTGGATGTGATGTGTTAGAAACTCCCATATTTGGAGCTGCGCTTACCTATGGATACGGTCATACTACAAACGGTCGTGGATAAGTGAGATTATGGTCGTGCCCATACTCACATATTACAAACGAAATAGTTTATTGGAAAACATACAAATGGGCGCGCGAGTGCGTGATGGTCTAATCCTTAGGGATGCAATGTTTTTTAGAGACTCACATATTAACGCGGCAACTATGGATACGACCATTGCTTTATATGTGGATAACATACTACAAATGGGGTGCGAGTACGTGATGGCCGAATCGTTGTGGATGCGACGTATTAGAGACTCACATATTAACGATGCAACAATGGATATGACCATTGTTTTATATGGGGATAACCCTTTAAACGCGGCAATAGTATTCCTTTATCAATTATATGTGGATAACCCGTAAATGTATACGGAAATCAAGTAATATTGGATATGACCATGTATTTTTAAATGACCATATATTTGATAGAATGCGCCGATTTCGATTAGACCATACTTCCATGAGAGTAAGATCCAAATTCCGTACTCTACTTCTGCTATTCCGTTATTAAGGAGTTCGATTTCTCAATCTAACTATTTCGAACTCTACTTCTTCGTACTCTACCATTTCGAACTATACTTCTTTTATTTTGTAGGTTAAGATTAGAGATGTCTGGGGCATCAGGCAGCCTGTCTGGTTCGAGTGGATCGACTAGTAGTCGTCCAAAAAGAATTGTGGGTGTTCCTAAGAAATGTTGGTGTGGTGAACAGATTGTGGCTTTGATTTCAAAATCGACAACAATCCGTATCGGCGATACTTCAGGTGTGCGTATGCTGCATCAAAGAAGGTAATGAGATGGATATATGCTTTGTACCATGTCGCTTATTTGGAAATTGTTCTTATCGCTGTCTTCTTGAATCAACATTTTTTGTAGATTGTGAATGATAATCACAACTTCAAATGGGTTGATGAGGCTCTGTTAGATGAGATTGAGAAACTGCAAAACAAGAATTCAAGCCTTGAGCAAGAGATAAAGGAATCGGCAACAGATAAATTGGGTTTGGAGAAGATGATTTATGAAAAAGTTCAAAGGAAGCTTGAGAAGGAAATATTTGACAGGGTTGAAGATGTGTTGGCTGAAGCCAAGTGTGGTATGAGGAAAATGATGATGCTAGTCGTAGTTGGATGTCTGCTCATGTTAGGGATAATCGGATTAGTTGGATGAATAAATTGGTGGTGTTATATTTTCTCTCTTTAGTTGTAACATGAAAATGATAGTCTCTATGGCCGCGGCCAATAATGTAAGTTACATCCATTTGAAAAACGCTATAATCTAAACCTAATTCCTATAGATATCGAGTACAGTGTATATTGTATGGTTAAAAGTTTAAAAAAGCTATTTGGCATTGACCCACATAGGCGTTAAACATGGATATGGACATAATACGAGCATGGGATCTTCGTGTATGGGTCTGTATATATATATATATATGAAGGGCAATATAAATGTACATATATGGATATAGCCATATTGATATTGCCCATATGAAGGTTATTAAAAATAGTTAGGGTATATGGATATAGCCATATAAACGAAAACATATAAACTTGTCCAATCTGTTGAATAAACCAAGTACAAGCATTGGTGTACATATGGACATGTTCACATCGATGGATTACAGCTGCATATGTTGCTCTATGTTTTGAGCATAAGAATTTTGTGATCCTATGAATAGGTATCATCCATAACAAAATGAAGATAGTTAGATTCTATGAGAAGGTTTATATAGTCAATTAATAATGGACGATGTAGTATGGATAATTCTTGTAGACAGTTAGTAATGTAGTTTCTTAATATTTAGCAACAATATGGATACGTAGATATGTACATCCATATTGCTACACTTTAATTTTAAGAAGCAAGGACCATGTATGTACATATAAATGCATCCATATTTAAATTCATCATGTTAAGTACACATTGACAAGTCCATGACAATAAAGGGTTATGCTTGGTAGTTAATGACCATCACCATTGGATGGAAAAATAAAATGGACAAGTACACAAATATCGTTAGTTGACATGTCAACATATAGATGAAGATTTGCACTTGAATCTCTTCGCAAGAATACGCCGCCACCGCAACAGGAATGTAATTGCAGGTGAGCTTCCAATTTCAAAAATTTGAGCAAAGTACAGAAATTAAGGGAGATGCAGAGCTTGTAATGCTCGACAGCAGAGGCAAGCTGTGCGTTTGATTGTTTGGCCTCATCTAGATCTGAGCACTCTTGAAAGCTGTGCGTTTGATGGGGATTCAAATAATACATGACAGGACATGATGAGGAAGAAGAAAGAATTAGCAGCAGGGAGATATAAGTGATAACAACAATAGAAGAGGAAATTGGAAGCGTGAGAACAGAGAGAGATAAAATCAATAGAAGATTGAGGGCAAATCTCTGACTCGAGATGGAGAAAGAAAGAGAAGATGGCTGGGTTTGATGGTTTAATTTAGGAATATTGGGTTTGATGGTTTAATTCAACCGGTTTAGAAGGAGGAGATGGAGAAAGGGTTAATAACATAATTTCGAATGCCCTAAACATGAAAATGTGCTACTTCAACTTAAAGAGCCATAGAGTGTAAATATTTTTAAAAAAGAGCAATAAAGTATAATTACCTCTATTTTACCACGAAATTATAACAAATTTACTACAAATAAATATTTTTTAAATATTGTTGTATTTTGTGGCAAATTCGTATCAATTTTGCCACGTTAACAAATTTGGTGGCATTCCGTGGTAAATATTTGACAAAACTTTTTATGTAAAATTTGTCTTAATATTTGCCACTACATTATCAGAGATTTTTTGTTTCAAATTTGCCAAAATATAAAAATTGTGAGCATTTATGGCAAATTTGTTTTAATTTATATCATTTCTTTTTCTTCTCTTCTCCTCCGATCGATTCTTCACTGCTCTTTTCTTCTCTCTTTATCTACATGTATTTATTTATTATGTCAGATCTGATTTTATGTGGAAAAAGACAATCGCTTTCAGCCATTTTTGAGATCTAACTTTACTTTTCACCATTTTTCAGATCTATTTCCCTATTCTTTGCCATATTCATCAACGATCTCTCTACTTTCACCACCACTGCCGCTTCTTCCACCTCATCCCCATCACTGCTGACGGTTGCTCCACTGCCGCTGAAGCTCCCTCCACCGCTGCTGTCGATCTTTCCACCACTGTTGTCATTATCTCCGTTGCTGCTGTTGGCCCTCCACTGCTGCTCGGTCCCTCCACCGCCACTCTCGGTCCCTCCAGCGTCATAGAAGATTTAATTTTATTTCGTTTTTCGTAATTTTAGTTTTTTATGTAACGAATTTTATTTACTGGCCATACTTTTCTTGTAATTCGTGGTAAAATTATCACACATTATATTGTGCTAATCTTTAGCAATTTTGTAATATATAAAATTGTGGTAATAAATCATAATTTGTGGAAATAAAATTTGTGGCGCTTTGTGTCGAATTTGCTATGAATAGAGTTTGTGATATTTTGTTACAATGTGCCACGATTATTTTGTATTAAATTGAGGTAAAAATGCCAGAATTGTTTTTTAAATAATTTGTGGTTAAGTTACCAGAA